ATTTTTGATAAATTAAAATAAAGATTTGTCCATGAATATATTGAGTATTTGTTTTGAATAGTTCGTGTGCAAAGTAATTTTCATGTTAAGATTAAAAATACTTTTCCTCATCTCAAAAATATCAAATTTCCTTTATGTAATCCCTAAAACCTCCTAAATACATATCAAACGTTTTTTTTTTCAGTAAAACTGTATATTTCATCTATTATTTTCTCTACCCTAACTCAAAATAGGATCAGTCAATTTGACCGACCTTGTAACTGCCAAAAAAATCAAAATAAACCTAAATTATCGTTTTTTCTTTCTAGAATGACTTCAAATTATAACTTGAAACTACATTAATTTATCCTAAGTAGCTCTAAGCTGTAACACTATACATCTATTTATAATTACACTTTATTGTTTTATTGCCCTTTGAACTGTGTCTAACTATTATCCATGCCATAATAAGTTGTAAAGCACTCGGGGCACGTGCAGCTCAAGTTAAACTATTGATTTACATTACCTACGTGCTGCTCGCATGCGTGCCTCATGAAACATTTTTATTATATTATTATTATTTACTTTACCTATCTAATCTAATCTTAACTAACCTAAAAAGATCCCTGTTTTTTATATTTGTTACTTTTATAATAATAAATAAAGAATGAACATGTAAAACAAGAAATAAATTACTTACCCAGTCTTCTTTTTTCTTGTTGTTGATTGTCGATTATACTTAAGCCTACATATTTGATACTAATGGTAGTTGTGCATTAAATAATTTTTATTTAATTAAATAATGCACCAAAGAACATAGACTAATAAAATTAAAAAGCAGACAATTTCCCCTAACTCTCAAATCTTTTCTGGCTCTCTAACTATAAGACAAGAGCTGTTACAAATTCACCAAAGCTAGTCGTTAACTTTCCCATGGGAATGAAGCTTGTACTCTGAGTGAAATTGACGCTTATCTGTTCAGATCACAATGTTATACAATACATCATTTGATAGATGAAAACCTTGACTTTCTATTGGTTATAGATAATATATAATTAAATGTAAAAGAGTACTTTAACAAAGCTTGAAAGAGAGGATGTGGCAGGAGGGGTGTGATTTTCTATTTATAGCTCTGTAACCAAACGAAATTGAAGGCTATAAAAATTATGGTTTGTCTGAGCAATAACGATATTATAAGGAGTAATTTATGTTTAATTTCATACATTTTGAAGGGGTGGTGGATAAAATAGAGAAGATACCTAGAGAAAATGTGTTACTGTAACACTAAGGGAAGTTCACGATTTTTTTAAATATTTCCTTATAGAATTAAGAACTTAAAACTTATATACTATTAAATTATGGATTATTAGCTAAGTGTTTATGCCATATTAATTGGTATAACAAACAAAAAGTAGTTTAATAAAATTTTGAATATAAGACACTAAAACTTTGTCATGCATAATAAAGGATACCCGGGGCAAAAGAGTTAAGGGGATTGTGATCCCTCAATAACATGCCCATTTTTTTCAAACTATCATCCCACCAAGTTTGGTTAGATAACAGACACATGCACAAATTTTTGTGCTTTATATATAATAAGCATTAAGAAGATTTTAATAAAGAATCCATTGTCAATCCTAGTTGCCACCTTAAAGTCATGACAGAAAATGCCTATGTTAACAGCTCCCAAATGCACTGGGAATATACCAGCTACCAGACAAAATACAAATGCTGATGTTAAACTAACCAGCAAGCATGGAAAATCAATTAAGTTGAGTGCTTACACCCACAATGTCTCAATTCCTACTGTCTGCAGCCAATTGAGGGAAGGCAGTTACCTTTAAAATTTCATATAATTCCTAAAGTAAAAATGAAACCACCCTAACATTTCTACTATATGCAAATCCCAACTTCCGCCCTTACAAAAGAAATAAAATATCTTAAATTAACTGACCTTAAATAGAACGAAAAACCTTACCTTACATTGTTTAAGTTCCCACCCACCTCCCTTTCTCTTGAAAAATTTATTAAAGTATAACATGGGAAAGCCGAGGCAAGCCTAGCTACTTGAAGTTAGTCTTTCCATCCCGGTATACTAAATGAAATTATAATTTTAAATTTAGCTACTTAAAAGTAGCTAACAATCTCTAGTGACAATAAAGGTATTTTCCATATTGAAAGTTTATTTCTTAAAATATTTTCATATTTATTATAAAACAGTGTAAAAATATTTACTTAATTGCCAGTATTTCTTATAATGTTATATTATTTATAAATAAACTAGAAAATAATGTCCTATTAACAATTAATGTAATTAATAGTATTGGAGCTATTTATTTCATTATATGTATATTTAAATTTGATATAGAAATTTGAAACATACTTGTTTCATGTTTCTAATAATCTATTAGTTCAATAAGACTATTGATTTTGTAAAGAAGATAATTGTATATTATAGAGTCCTTGTTTATTTTGATACATAATATGATGCTTCCCTGAAAAATGTTTAATTAATCTATTTTTTATTGTGACTAAATCAAAATGTTCAATTTTCAGTTGCAGGAAGGCAGTAATTGTATGCTAAGTCTTGCCATTAATGAATTTATTTGTTTTCTAACTAATGCAAATGTCTGCTAAAAACTGTTTGATTGATTAAAAAACTGATGCACTTTTGAGGTGTTCTTACTACTGAATCACTTTATAAGAGACTGGCATTCTTACAGTAGTTCTCTCTCTGTGTGTGTGTGTGTATATATTTATGAGTACATGTAATTCAAGGGTGTTTTAAAATTACACCCTCCTACATTACCCAAGTGAAATTAGTTCAGAAGTATCCAATGTATAATGAAGTTTTCTAATGTGGCATTTCTTAGCTAGTGAATGTGCTAATCTTTGTGCAGGAAATGTTTTAAGATAAAGAAACATTGTGTTTAAACCAATAGTGTTATGTTGAAGAATGTCTTATTTGAATAAAGGATATGAAAAAAATACTATAAGGTGACTATTTGTGAATAACCAGTGTTGACTAACTAACTAAAACATTACTTGTATTTGTTTAAAAGTATTTCTATTTTCATAAATCTAATGCCAGTTTTCCTATCTTTTAAGATACTTTTTAAAGCTGCTTGACCAAAATGAGAAACTGTTTAAATGTTGCTTGAATTAACTAGTCCAGCTACATGTATATGTGACAGTATATTGGTTCTTTAGGGCTCCAACACGGAACTGGTTGAGTTGGATTACATTGTATGATCAGTTAGTTACAGTTTTTGTTCAGTTTTTCTTTCAAAATACATTAGGTAGTGTGGCTATTTTTATCAAGTGTATTTCAGTTAAATTGTTATATTGATGTCAAGATTATTTACTCAATTGAAAATGTTCTGAGTTAGGTTTTGGGAACTTGATTGAAATATGGAAACATTATGAGCAAAGATAAAATGAGGCTTACAGCTAGCTGAACAATCTTACACATTTTTGTAATAAGATTTATCAGTCTATGTTCAAACAAAAAAATCTCTAAAAAGTTATTTAAATTCTATTTCATGATACTGGAAACTTGTAAAGAACTTGGTCCTTTGGCATTGTTAGAATATTTAAACACATTGAAGGTTTGAACTTAAATAGATATTTGAACAACAGTTTTGATACAAGTTTGGTTCCAGACTTTAACAAAAGGTCTTAGAAGTATCCTCCTTTTTTATCTTTTTTTACAGCATCTTGTGTTATTTTTGACTTTGCAGAGAGGTATACTATTTTTCTATTTCTTCTTTGTTTTTTGTTTTCCCAAACATTTTTCAATAAACTGCCATTTTTCATTTCTTGGCAGATTGACTTAAAACTTGGTAGGGTTATACCTTGATCCAATACTATCAAACACCTTTTATAAATTTTTGATTTAAACCTTTTTGAGGATTTTATTGGATGAAACGATAAACAAACCAAAAATGTATATTTTGAGCTCTTGTGCTCATATTTACAGCAATCAAGATGAAAATTAGCAAAAATATAAATTTTCATAAGCCCAATACATTAACATAAAAAAAAGTTGGATGCCCAATTTGAGTTTTTTTTGGGGGGGCATAGTTTACAAAAAACATAATTTTTTTTGTCAGTTACTCAGCCATGTTTTGACCAATTTATGTGGATTTGGTACAAAAATACTTTTCTGGAGGTCCTATTCCTACAAATAAAAAATTATAGGATATACCCCTTTTTTGGCCATTTTAGGGGGTCAAAAGGTCACATGATTTTAGAGGTTTTGGTCCATTTCTTGGTCATATTTTGACCAATTCACATGAGATTTAGTACAAAAATATTGTTTGCAGGTCCCAAACAGAGATACCAACAATTTTGGAATTTTTGTCTTTTGCTCAATTTTTTTTAAGCAAGGAAAGCACAATTTTGGCCTTTTTGTGAACTGTTCATGTGAATTTCAACTAAATTATGTGGGATTCAGTACAAAGATACCTTCTTGCAAGTTCCAAGCAGTGATATAGACAGTTTTCAATTTTTCTGTGTTTTCATGATTTCTCTGATGTCAAAATTGGCCATGTTGAGATTGCTTGGTGGAGACATGTTGCTTTCATCCATGAATGTTGGCCTCTATAATTGATTTTGCTTTGGAATATCCCATTGGGATCTTAAATTGTTGAAATTGGATGTTTGAACTCTTGAACTTAAGAAAACTTTCATATGAACACTGAGTACTCAATTTGGGCATAAAAGTAATTAAAGTGCAGTTAGAGAAACCCACTTTTAATAAGCAGTCTGTTTATTGAAATTTTGGTTTTATTCATTTGGGAAATGCATGCTAAACTATTTTAAAAAATATACTTAGTTCTTTTTCTGTATTTTTCTTAGTAACTCAACTGTATGTAGAAGTGAGTATCAGACCTCAATTACTTATCATAAATGTCTAACAGAAAATATTTAACATGCATGTAAATTATTTTTTGATTGGCTAAAATGTTCTTTATTGTATTTTTTCAGAGTTTTTCTTCTCTTATTTTAATAATTTATAGAATTGAGCCACTATGTCTACATCTCGACGATCTCAATACAAAAATGCTGGTCTTGATGCTCAAGAGCTAAGGCGTAGACGGGAAGAAGAAGGAGTGCAACTTAGAAAACAGAAACGTGAACATGAGGTTTGATATATTTCATATCTGAATGTTAATATATGCAAAAATTACATTAGGTAGTGCTTAATAGTGATCATGGAAATAAATATGTATTCTTTTAATAACAAGTTAACAGAAATTTTTCTGATTCAGAGTTAATGTTTATATAAATATAATAGTACATGTATTTACAATTTTTGAAATACTGTAGTTAACTTAATATTTGCGAGAATTATCTTTCATGGTTTTACATTTAAACTTGTTTTGTAGGTTTTAACTTTCACAGAAAAATGAAATTGGAAATGCATCAATTTTTCGTTACATAAATTTAGAAAAAGTTTTCAGACATCATTCACCAGGGTGAAGATCTGCAAGCCAAACTATGCTGAAATTACATTTATTGTGCATTCATTCCGGCATGTTGCACAGATAAATTGCAGCCACTGGATTTGTCAGTAAACGAAGAATTTAAAGATGAACTGAAAAAATGCTTCCATCAGTGGTATGCCAGCAAAGTTATGCCTTTGTCAGGATACAGTCTATGTATGGAGAACCAGCACATGTTCATTAACACCCAGATGGCCATTTTAAAACCAATCCACACATGTTGGCTTATTGAAAGCCATGAGGTAATTAGTAAACAACATGAACTGATCCAATCAGGTTTCATTGAAGAAGGTTTTCAAAGGTTATGTGTAAAAAAGACTTATTGTTTTGTAATTGACTCATGCATGTCACTTACACAGTGCTATGCTTCATGAATGTGTAAATAATATTTGCTTGAATATATCTGTTTGGCTTCATTTATCGCTCATAAAGGATCTTTATATTGCTGGAACTATCGTTTGAAGAAACGTACAAATTGGGAAAATAGCGAAAGTTAATTGTACACAAATAATATGTAACTTACAATATAGGCTAACCTAATTTTACAGAGTGTACAGATAATACAAGTATTACATAAAAGTTATATTGATGATAGCTTGTATGTGTGGGTATTTGAAGAGGATAACAATTGCCACTCTTCATCTTCTTTTCATATGGATTTAGACAGTGTGTTCAATATGGGATGTGTAGTTTCTATTAGCTTTTTCTTGTTTTTTTTTGCTTCAGGCACAGTCTGTCTTCCATCAGCATGGAGCACAAAACTTTATATCAGAAAAAGGAGCCTACAAGCATTTCTTTATGTTTTCAAAATTTTAAGTATTTAAGCACAGCCTCAGCAGAGCATCAGCGGAGTGGATATTACCTTTGAATTAACTATACAAGTTCTAGATGCATCAAAAGTCCATCTGGTTTTCAGTAGTTGAAAACTACCTAGAAATGTTTACATACCTACCACTTTGCATAAGACAATGTGCTAGTAAACTTTTCTGATGCTACTCGCATATAACGATGTACCTAGCATCATTTAATGTAATTCTAACAGTACTGAAGTTTGTAGAATTACATAGATCTGTAGAAATATTGCTGGGCTGGATGTATACTAAAATATAAGAAACACATTTCATCAGTTTATTGAATTTAGCCAAATATTTTACAACTTGGGACTGAATGTAGATTGTTAGGTTGTAGTATGAAAATGTACCTTCTAGATACTCCATACATTTTTTTATGCTGATGATACAGTTTTAATAGCTGATTAAAAAGAATAGAGAAGCTGCAAAAGTTATAGATTGTTGTTGAAAAAGTTGTTAGTGAAAGCGAGAAGGGTTGAAGTATTACCTGTAGGAAAACAATGCAAGGTAATACAAAGAAGATGATTATCCCGGGGGGCCGTGTCCACCAAGAAAAGTATATAAATTTTATAAAGATAAGTAAGGATTGAGATATATATATATATATATATATA